GAAGCGGAGGCAAGAGAATCTCTGAAGCCCAAGAGTTTGAGGTTGCTGTGAGCTGTGATGCCACAGCACTCTATTGAGAGTGGCATAGCAAAACTCGTCTCAAAAAGTAAACAAAAAAAAAGCACTCATTACCTATTAATAGGTTTTATTTATCAACTAGTTTTAAACTCAACATTTAACTCAGTTAAACTTTTAAATTAAACTTTTAATGCACTATGCACTGCATTAAAATCCAAACAAGTACATAAAATCAGGAATGTGTACAGTGCTAGTTGATAATTTGTTTTTTTACTTTATTCACTTAAGCAATATTCATATTTTTTACAAAAATTATATATTACTTTAACAACCAAAGAAACAATCAACTTATTTCATCATGAGACTTTCAAAAATTGTGATAAGTACAGTAGACCTACTTTATCTGAAGGGGATATGTTCCAAGACATCCAGTGGATGGCTGAAACCTTGGACAAGTACCATGCCCTGTATATATTACTCTACATGTTTTTCCTATACATATATACCTATGATAAAACTTAATTTATGAATTAGGCACAGTGAGAGATTAACAATAACTAATAAAATAGAACAATTACACCAATATGCTGTAATAAGACATATGAATATGCTCTCTGAAAATACTGTTAATATTTTCACATTCCAGTGGACCACTGGTAACTGAAACTACACAAAGCAAAATCACAGATAAAGGGGCTCAGCACCTATAGCTCAGTGGCTAGGGTGCCAGCTACATACATGGGAGATGGCAGGTTTGAATCCAGCCTGGGCCTGCCAAACAACATCATCAACAAAAAAACAAAAAATGGCTGGGTGTTGTGGTGGGCGGCTGAGGCAAGAGAATTACTTAAGCCCACGAATTTGAGATTGCTGTGAGCTATGACACAACAGCACTCTACCCAGGGTGACAGCTTGAGACTCTACCTCAAAAAGAAAAGAAAAAAAAAATCACAGATAAAGGGAAATTATTATAATACAAAAAGAAACAGAGATAGATTTAAATTATTTAATATTCTTCCCTTCAAGAAGTAGGGCCTCCCCTTAACTTAGTGACTTCCTTCTAATAGAATAACATATATACGAGTGATAGTATGTGACTTTAGAGACCAGGCATGAAAATCACTAAGGCTTGCTCTTTACTCTTTCTCGGATCATGCATTCTGGGGAAGCCAGCTGCCACCTGGTGAGGTCACAGTGGAAGAGTGAAGAACTGGGGAATTCTGTAAATGTCAAAATGAGTGAACCATCTTGAAAGCAGATCATCTTCCATTAGTCACGCAGCTTGACTACAATCTCATAGAAGCCTAAGACAGAACTACCTGGCTAAACTACGCCTGATATCCTGACTCTCAGGAAATATGATATGATAAATGTTTTGCTTTAACCTGGTAAGTTTTAATTTGTTACACAGTAATAGATCACTAAAATAATAACTTTATAGAATTTTGAGCCAGCATGGCATACTAAAAAGAAATGGTCTACAGTTAATAAGAGGCGAGGCCTGGATTCTGGTCCTGGCTATGCTTAATTCCCAGTGTGGTCCTGAATGAAATACTTCTTCTTGGCCTCAATTTCTTCCATGACAAAAACAAACTGAATTCCTGATTTCCAGCAATGTTTTGAGCTAAAGCTTAATATGATAAATGAAAAACAGTATTATATAATCAAGTATATTAGGGAAGGTCTAGGTTAAGCAAAGTTAAACAAGATTCTGTAATTAAAGCTTTGCATATCCTTGATGTAATAGCATATGTTCTACACATCAAGAGGAAGTACTGGGGGACCTTACCTCATCATGTGCATGATGCAATGGTACATTTCAAAACTATTAAGAAATGAGTATAATTGTGATGGATGTATTACTTGGTTCAATGTAAACATTTCACATTGTAAACACAGGAAGCAGTACCCTGAACCCCATAAATGCATCAATGTACAAAGTTATGATTTAATAAAAAATAATTAATTAAAAAAAAAAAAAAACCAGGGGAGTGCTAGTGTTTACTTAACAAATTTCCCAAAAGGGTGGAAACAACCTGTTCTAAAGCTCCTTAGAGTTCCAAAGATAGATTCTGTGAAACTCTCAACTGACTGAGCTCTCAGTCACTCAGTGGATCATCGACAATGCCATAAGCTTAAGAACACAGGCTTTGGTAAGAATATACCAAGCATTAGTCTTCTCATAATAACTGTGTAAACCTGAAAATCTATTCAATTATAAAATGAGAATACTCTTGAGTATCTATTTTGAATGCCTACCGTGAATAACATATCCTTGTAAAGTACTTGGCACAGTGTGTGGCAACTGAGCAGTACTCAACAAATGCTGACAACTGGCTGCGTGAAGTGGCTCACGCCTGTAATCCTAGCTCTCTGGGAGGATGAAGTGGGTGGACTGCTTGAGACAGGAGTTTAAGACCAACCTGAGCAAGAGTGAGACCCCACCTCTACTAAAAATGAAAAACTGAGGCAAAAGGATTGCTTAAGCCCAAGAGTTTGAGGTTGCTGTGGGCTATGATGCCACAGCACTCTACCGAGGACAAAAGTAAGATTGTCTCAAAGAAAACAAAAACAAAAACAAAAAACTTGTTTTAACAAGTGTGCAAAATTAAATGTGTAAGGATGTACAATGAAGTATAATTTATAATAAAAAAGTATATTCCAAAGAGTGAATTAAATGGAAACAATCCATATTAAAAATGAGTTGTTCCATTCAACTGTGAAATATAAATATAACAAATTATAATAGCTCTTAAAGAAGAACTTGTGGGCAGCACCTGTGGCTCAGTGGGTAGGACACAGGCTTCATATACCATGGGTGGCGCGTTCAAACCCAGCTTCAGCCAAACTCCAACAAAAAAATAGCTGGGCATTGTGGCCGGTGCCTTATACTCACAGTTACTCGGGAGGCTGAGGCAAGAGAACTACCTAAGCCCAAGAGCGGGAGGTTGCTCTGAGCTGTGGTACCTTGGCACTCTAGACTCTTAAAAAAAAAATGAATAATTTAAGAGCAAATTCACTAAAATGGAAAGAATTCTACACACTATTGCTACCAAGAAGATTATAAAAGAGTATGATCCCATTTTAATAAAAATACATAAATATGAGGGCGTGTAAACAGATATATGTACACACATGTACATACACACACAAAGAAAAGTGTAGGAAGAGTACACACTACGAAAATTCCCAGTGACTGGCTATTTCAACCAATTCCCAGTGACTGGCTATTTCAACTAAGTCAATGACAAGACCTCCAGAACAAAAGGACTAATTGCTTCAACTGTCAAAACAGAGGCTTAGAACGATACTTACATCAACTGCAGCATCTTCATCATCTGAATCTTGCAGACCAAGAGCCGCTTTTTGTAACTTCTTCCTCTCATTAGCCAAAGCTTGTTCTGTTTCATCAAACTTGAATCCCTTACCAGAGAACCCACTG